TCCCTCATATAATGGTTCTTCCTGTCATCTTTTGTCATATTTAGTCAGGCATTGTATGATTTATGTTTAATTGCTTGGAAGCTGGAACCTTTGTTGATTATGTAGTGCTACACTTGCAGTACTTTCTATATCAGGTTTTACGAGGGCTCAAATATGTACATTCAGCAAATGTTTTGCATCGCGATTTAAAGCCCAGCAATTTGCTTCTGAACTCTAATTGTGACCTTAAAATTGGAGACTTCGGGCTTGCAAGAACAACATCTGAAACTGATTTTATGACAGAATATGTAGTCACTCGTTGGTATCGGGCACCAGAATTGCTTCTAAATTGTTCTGAATACACTGCCGCAATTGATATTTGGTCGGTAGGTTGCATACTTGGTGAAATCATGACTAGAGAACCCCTCTTCCCCGGAAGAGACTATGTGCATCAGTTGAGGCTTATCACAGAGGTATTTTTTAGAATTTTCTCACTAGAAACTATAGGAAAGTTCTTTAGATTCTCTTTAACACTTTGCTGTTTTCTCGAAGTCTGGAGATCTTTTAATTGCATCCTACTATGCCTCTTGGTATAAGATTTGGTCCATTTCTGTTGGCCCTTTGGTTGCATGGTTCTCGGATGTATTTTGCTTCTTCAGTGAAATTGCATGACCTTGTACTCTAACAAAGTCAAGGCAGCAAATAGGCAGGGCCATCCCAGAAATGCTATCACCGAACAAGTCGCTAGATGGTTCAGCATTTAGCCTGTATGGTCTCTATACAAAATCAAAATATCCAAGAAATGAACTTATTATTGTGCGAGGAAGACAAAGGTCTGGCCTTTGACCTTCTAGCTGTGAATCGAGGAAGAACGTTGTCTGGGGACTTGCATTCATGTCCTATATTAATTTTTTGTCTCATTAGTGCTTATTTTGATGGAAGTTGAACAAAGTATGCTGAACCTGTAAATGTTTTCTTTTCTCTTGAATAGCTTATAGGTTCACCTGATGATTCCAGCCTTGGGTTCCTTCGAAGTGACAATGCCAGAAGATATGTTAGACAGCTTCCACAATACCCAAGACAAATTTTTTCGAATAGATTTCCTAACATGTCGCCGGGGGCTGTTGATTTACTAGAAAAGATGCTTATCTTTGATCCACATAAGCGTATTACAGGTATAATTAGTTGCTGAACTCTTACTCTTTTTCCACAGTTAAGATTCATATAGTTCTAAGCTTGTTTTAAGCACAAGTTGCTATTTGTGTTAATTCTTTTACCAGCATTGGAGATTTTGCATGATGCTTATACTTGGGAACTACGTCCCTTTTCTTCCTTTGCTAACAACTTTTCGTTGTTTGTTGAAGTCGATGAAGCTCTATGCCACCCGTACTTGGCACCTCTTCACGACATCAATGAGGAGCCGGTTTGTCCGAGGCCTTTCAGTTTTGATTTTGAGCAACCTTCATTCACTGAAGAAAATATCAAGGAGCTCATATATAGAGAATCTGTAAAGTTCAATCCAGATCCAATTCAGTCCATTTGAGATTAAAAAGATACAAGACTCTCCCTAGAATACTCTTCGACAGAATGGGAGTCCATTCCACTTTCGATCTCTTGTTGTCTGCAGAGCATTTCCTGCTCTTCAGAGTGATTCAAACCCTAGTTGGATTAGGCTTTTATTTCAACAGTAGAGAGATTAGTTATTCTAGCCGATGATGATGTTACCACTTCATTCTAGCTTTTGAGGAGTTAACCAGAAACATGCACGCATGGAGTATATATTGAATCTAAGGTCAGATATGCTTTCTTCGGTACGAGAATGCATGAAGACTTCGATGTTCTAAATTGCTGATTTTATGAACTGTTGAAGTATTGAGTCTGATATTAAAAATCATATAAGTTTTTGTATGTCAACTGTAATGTTGTTTATGTACGAGTATGCATGAAGACTTCGATGTTCTAAATTGCTGATTCCTGTTGTAGTATTGAGTATGATATTAAAAATCATATACGTTTTTGTATGCCAATTGTAATGTTGTTTATTGACTGTTTTTTGAGTTTGTTTTAAGTGTTTCTTTTACACTAATGTTTGACAGTTGCACATTTCAAATTATTATGTTTTGAAGTTTGTTTTCTTAGCTTAACGTTAATAATGACATCAAAGTTGTTTTCTAAGGACTGAAAGGTTCCATTGCTGTTAGTGAGTGATTAAAACACTTTGAGATTTTGGGTTTTTTTTGGTACTTTTAAAAATGGCTTCTTTGAATGCTCTCAACACATGTTCAAGTGTTCACAAGAACCCATTACCATGTTTGGGCGGTTAAGGTGAAAGTCTATTTAAGGTCTCTTGACTTGTGGAGAGTTGTAGAAACTAATGAAGATCCACCAAAATTGAGACCAAATCTCACTTAGAGCTCATTATGAAGAAATGTTGAAGAATGATAGAACTCTAACGTGTATTCACTCCGGGTCAATAGACCATATTTTTATCAGTATTATGGATCTTGAAACACCTAAGAGTGTTTGGAACAAACTTAAATAAACTTATGAAGGAGGTGATAGAGTAAATAAAACAAAGATTTATGGTGATGGGTTAATCAAAGATTTCTTAATGAGGTTGATGGACATTGTAAATCATATCCGTCTTTATGGTGAAAACTTGTCGGATGAAAAAGTGGTGGAGAAAGACATGATCAGTGTTCCTCAGTTCAAAGCAAAAATTTTAGGTATTGAGGAATCTTGTGACATGTCGAGATTGACCATTGTTGATCTTGTTAGTAAACTAGAAGCACAAGAATAAATTACCGTCTATGCGAGCAAATGAGGCAAGTGAACGTGCTTTCCTTGCTGCTCATTGAGGAGTAGAGTTCAACAACTTTAGGAAGAAACCTGAAGGCTCTAAGGGAAAGTTCTTTGGTTCCTCTGTTAGTGGCCAAAGTGGAAAGTTGGTTTGTAAGAAAACAAATCATGCTGAAAAGGATTGCAGGTTCAAGGATAAGGGCAAGATTAAATTTCAATGTACCTTTTGTGATATTCTTAGCCCCACTGAAAAATTCTGTTGGACTAAGAAGAAGCAAGCAAAGAAGCAACCTCAACAAAAAGTAAATGCCAGTGAAGAGAACCAAGAGCAAGGTGTCACGTGGCTAGAGTTTCGACTAGCCGATCGTGCGGCCATAGACGCTTTCTGGAATAAAGCGGTGCCTAAGTCAGCTTTAATCACATTCTTTTGAGCTCCAACTTACTTAGCAACGACGAAACTACTTGGGGTTAACACACGAAGATGCAGAAGCTTAATGCGCTTGGGGCTAAACAAGCCACCAAGACTTGATGGCTTTGTGGGAATGGTAACTCTGTCAGGGCTAACTCAGCCACAAAGAGAGGTAACGAAGCCAATCAACTTAAGTAGCACAACGACGAAGCACAATGGCTTAGGAGCAAAAGTGGAATAAAACTTCAAAATGCTAAGTAAGAAAGGAACCAAGCTAATAAGCTAAGTAAAGTGAAAACAAAGCTTAGAAGCGAGAAAACATTAAAGCTTAAAGGCGACAAGAGAGAAAGAGCTTTAGAGTAAACACTTGAGTTATATTACTCTCCAAGAGAAGAATGAATTGAATGATTACAAATGAGGAGGTGAAGCTGCTTTTATAGTTGAGCTCCCTAAGATCTAACGATCTAGATTGAATTACATCAGCGGCTCAGATTGAATTCAAATCCTATCAGAATCTTTTCAAATTCAAACTAAACATTATCTCATTAATTTAAGTAATTAAATTCCTAAATTAAAAGATAATTAATCCTTCTAGAATCTTCCAATGAATGAGTCAGGTCCGATGGTCTTAAGCAAGCCCGATACTTCGTATAACTCTTCTACGAATATTCACGCACCCGTGTCTCAGTCCGAACATCCCAAACTTTGACAATTTCCCCCGTCGACCCTTGTAACGCCCTTGTCAATTTTCTCGGACGCCTCTGACTTAATCCTTTACGGAATTAGCTTTCTTCAAGAATCGGGCCAAAAGCTTGCCCTATCGAGCCCAAGTCTGCATAAAAAAACCCCTTCTGCGGGCTTCTGCGCACAAGTCACAGACTCAAACTCGCGGTCCGTGACATTCTCCCCAACTAAATTTCGCAACACCTTCGTCGCGCACTCGGGCAACTTGGAACTTGATCTCTTTGAATACCTGGATGTCTATCGCATTAGCAAGGCCTTACAGTCACGCCAAGCTCTTGTTATACATAGCTGCAACGAGTTCGAAGGAAGAGGATGAGCAAGAGCCAAAGTCAGTTGTATTCGTGGGGTTGGGCAGTGAGTGTTAACTGAGCAGAGATCAAACTTATGAGATTCCACATGGACTAGAGTTGTCTGAATTACATTTCTTGTGGGCACTTAGGGAACCTACTTGGGCTAAAGATGAAATCGATGGAGTGCCACCAGGTTTTGCTAAAAGGACACAAGGCAGAGGTGTGGTGACTTGGGTGGGCACCACAAATGGACAATTTGGGACACTCTTCAATTGGGGGAACCTTGTTTCATTGTGCTTGGAGTTCTGTGATAGAGAGCCTGCAATTTAGGCACACTGTGCTGGCGCTGCCGTTTTCCTACGACCAACCTTTGAATGCCAGATTCTCGTGAAGAAAGGTTTCGAATTGGAGATTGATATAGCCAAATCTTTGAGGCTTGCGATGGTGTCATATGCAAGACAAGCTGCCAAGATTATTGCTGATCAGGACAAGTGCATTACTCAGCTTGTCGAGTACCAGATAAATGGAATGGTTAATGGTATTGGTATTAATTCTGGTTGAAATTCTGTAATAATAAAGGACCTTCTGAAGCCATGGCTTTGGACCATTATAATTGCTGATGTATAACTTAATGGCTTTTGAATTGTAGTTTTTTAATATATAAAAAATACAGGTGTAAATCATTGAAAAAATTTATCCCAATAAAATAAAAGGTTCCAAGATACCCGCCAATCAATCTCCTGAAATTCACTTTTCAGGCTAATAATAACTACTTTATTTGGTTGACTCGGCTTATTTTTATAAACATTTATACATGCAATAATACGTTATAAATAATGTGAATAATAGTAGATTAGAGCAAAACAAAAATGCATGCAACTGAGCATGACATGAATCCCTATGATGCTTAACCCTCTATATCTACAAAGAACATTTTTTTTGTGATTCTAATGAGATACAAAGATCAACTGTAACGGGGCCTAATCATTTGCAAGACTTGATTTCCACTGATCCTCTTTGCTTGGTTGAACAATACTTTCGAGAATATTGGTCCTCTTTCGCCCGGCATTCCACTTGATTTTTTTTCCAGTTTATATTCGATACCTTCCTCATTTATCTTCCGAATTTGCAGTTGTTGAAAGTTTCTTTTCCAAATCATCAAGCAAATCATGGTATTCAGCAAATGCTGGATGAGACTGACAAAAAAATTGAGAGTATGGTAAGTCTGATTTCAATAAGAATAGTTTCACTATGAACGGAGCTGTAAAAGCCACATACCTGCAATGTCATACTATATGCTTTCCACAACCGCATATCATGCCGGAAAAGATCAAAAAGAACCTGCAGAACGATAAATGGATTATGATCATGAAACCCTATGATGAACAACAACTTGCATGGATTATTAATGTCAAAATGACCTAGAAATTTAAATAAACAATAACAGGTATCCTTAAAGATGAAATTCAAAAACGTCAAAAGAGATTTAAAAATCAAATACAAGAGATGTGTTTCAGTTTTGCATTTTTGAGACGATCTTCTACTCGTTCAGGGAAAACAAAGATGTCCAATTCTTTGATGAATAAAATTACTTAATTTACCAAAAGTAAGAAAAGGAATGTCAAAGGAAGCCCGCATAAAGTAAAAATGTTTTAAGACCTTAATTTTGAAAAGTGTTCACTTCATAAACGATTAAACATCCACCAACTGGCCCCCCTTGAATAAGATTGAAATTCAGCTGTTTTCTTATGACGGCTAATTAAGGCCTGGGTAGCTTTTTTCACACTTGGAACAGAGATGGGAAAAAAGAATAAAAGTTTGGATTCTGCATAGTTCTCCATTATGCTCTAACTGGCTGCCTTGAAACCTATGTGTGGTTCTTTTCTTTCATACAAGGGAGAGATATGGGGGAAGCTGGGAAGGACAGGCAAGTATTTAAAGAAAATCACCAATTAAACTAAACTCAGAAAATGCACAAGAAACAATAAATAGGTAAAATATAAAGTAAAATTCACATTAACAAAAAACATTTTTCTGAAACACCAATTAATTTATTAAGCCCTTTCACAGTTTAAAATTAATCAAGTAACTTAAAATATGTATAAAATATAAAAAATTATAAAAATTTATGAACATCCCCATAAAAAACTGTCCTATTGTAAAGCATGGAGAAAAATCTTTTAAAGAGAAGTCCAGAGCAAAACGACAAAATCTAGTGAGTCCCACATGCTGCTTCAAATGAGGGCAAGGTCCGGTACATATATCAGTGATGCTAAAAATCAAATTGTCATTAGAACCAGAATCCTAATGTTAAATGAAAGAAATTATACCTCAGATCGCCCTAAAAGAGTGGCAAGAACAACTATCCACTCCTTGAACTTGACAGAGCACATATGAGCCAAGAGGAATTCAGCATCCAACCTGCTCTGTAACATTCCCATTTGCAGCTGGAAAATTTCAAAAATATGGTCCAACAAGCATTAGACTATCACACAACAACAACAAAAAAATTGCAGAGAAACTACGGAGGTTATTTTCTATGATCTAAATGTATACACAGTTAGTGCCTAAGTTAAGCATTTTGAACAGATTCTTACATCACACAAGCTATTCCGCTATGGTATATAAAAATACAACAAAGAGAAAAGAATATACACGAAAACAAATTTCTAAGAAAACCGGTTACCTTTTGCCCAATCAATTCAAGCCCTGATGCAAAATTCTCCAACCTAGCAGAACCATATCTTTCTCGTTGAAGATATTCCTGCAATGTATTGTTTCATGGAAAAAATGAAAATCACTTAACCCCATAAAATGACATTTTGAACCAACTATGTTTTTCTCACCACTAAATCAAACTGAGTGCCCTTTACAAATGCAACAAGCTTGGAAAGTTCCTTTCCTGACATCAAATAGCTAGCATGATTTTCCAATATGTTCTTGACGGAAGCAATATGAGCACTCTGGTCTTTGACCGAAGGGCTGCTACCAAAAAAAGAGGGGGATATATTAAGTGTTATCTTGAAATTACTTGAAATTCCAACACTCCAAGGTAATGTAGAACAATTCATGGAAGTCAATAACCTTTTATCTAATGATGATCTACTGAAACTAGAACGGAAAAGGAAATAGCCCAAGAATCTAGGGGATAATTTGTCTGAATCTGTAGATGATTGCTCAAAATCTCTCCCTGACCTCAACAAGAACCTCACCTAAGAACAAAAGAGAGAGAAATCATGATTCAGGAAGTGTTTATTACCAAAAAATTCATTTACACAAACATATGACCATGCAAGAATAATACCAGCTCTCCAGCAAGCTCATATAATGATTCGTCTAGAGTTGCCTGCACAGGATTTGATAATGCTTTCAAAAGTCTTACGGGGTAAATAGAGGTAAAACAGAGAGAAATAATTATGAAAAATATTAGCAAAAATCTACCTGCAATAAGCGCAGAGCACAATACTGACTAACAGCAGAACCTTCAAGTTTGGCAATTACCTGCACCATTTTTATAAAAGGAATGAATTTGATCAGACAATCATGTAGAACAGGAGATGACTTCTATACTCTAATGATCTATTAAAAACCTTGCATACTGTTGTCTAACAAGGAATTCACATGCAATAAGAGAGAATATTCCTCTTGCTTCTCATGCATAGCTTTCCAGCTACATCTAAGGAGGGAGAGATACATAATTCTTCGAAGATAAAAAAACTCAGTAAATTTACTTCTTATAGGATGACCATAACTGCTGAACTGTATAAGAACCCAAAGCATGCTTTAAAAAGGCTCTATGCTTGTATTAAATAAAATTTCAACCATCTCCGAAGAGGAAATATCTTTGGAAAAATTGATAAGGCAATGACAAGAAACATGACATGTTTAGAACAAGGTTAAAAATTCTAAAGAGATAATTATTCTTACAAGAATGTAGCATGCTGCAGTGCGGTACCATCTCCGTTGGAAGCAGTCTTCAAACAACCTTTTGCAATAAAATTAGTGAGGACAATTTTTGGATGGAAAAAGGATGAAGGTGCGCTAATTAAATAGAATGATGATGCAACTAATGCCCAGTGTTAACTCGATACAATTATCACTCAAGAGAAGGTCAAATGTATCCAAACATAGTTAATCACTACAGAAGATAAGGAAGAAGAATAACACACACACATAGAGATATATATGTTCAACATCTTTCAGACATGTTTTGCATCTGTCAACTGGAAAAACAAGTCAAAAAGAGAACTAAGAACATACTCTGTAGATCTTCCTGCAGCAGTGAACAGATCGGCCCAATATCTACCATCAGTTTTTCTTGCAACACTCACAACCACATCAAGATACTCCGGAAAATTTCTGATCAGATCACAGGTCTTCTCCAAAAGAGAGACATTCTGTTTCTGGACTGAGACCTGGTTTTTATTCACATTTTGCCTGCAAGGAACCAATATAATGGAGTTCTTATAGGGTAAGCATAAAGAGATACCGGAAAAAGAGAAGGGGAGAAAAGAAATCACATAAAAACCTCATGCCTTCTAGTGACAGCGAGATCAAGACTGGTCCCTAAAATGGTCCAAGCAAAATAGAAGGAACTTTTGCTAAAACCAGCAAGTTTATGTGGAAAATTTATATTTTTCTAGTTTCCCAAAAGCTAAAAAACTGCAACATTAGGACTGCATGGAAATTCCCTCAATTACATGCACACCGAGACACAAATAGTCATTCCAAGCATAGCTTGGCCAGTCATTTTTCCCAGTTGAATAATACCTTGAAATCTCAGCATCAAATACGGTGAAAAGTAGCCACTCTAAACAATGTGAAAAATGAGGCTTCTCTGCTGATATTTTTGCCAAACGTAAAGCCTCCTCGCTTTTGTCCCTCTGCAAGATGCAGAACCAGAAGTAGAATAACAAAGAGCATGTATATCTTTGCAAATAACTAAATTAAGTTCCAAAAAAAGTTGTAATGGCGTCGGAGCTTTATTAATTTTTATAATATTTTAGTATTTTAATTTTATTCTATAATATCTACTAATTATTAGACATATAATAGATGACTAAGGCTAGGACTACTAAATTTTTAGGGTTATTGGTTATCTTTAGGTTTAAATCTAGGGTTCTGATGAAAAACTTTATTTGCAAGAAAGCCTAGTAACTTTAGTTGGAAGAAAGACGGCCTATAAAATAAGTTGTAGGCTTTACAGCCAACACAATTATTCTTATTATTTTCTAGAATTAATAGAAAGAAACTGGGATTTTTTATAACCCTAAGTTTTCTCTGTTGAAAAGAGGGGTTCATTTAGGGGAAAACACTCTATGCCCTTTTTGTAATCAAAGGGATGAATCAGTTCAGCATTTATTTATTTCTTGTTTTGTTTCTTGGGATTTGTGGACTAAGCTTTTAGGGTACTGGGGTATTCAGTTAGCTATTCCACAAGACCCTCCTAGTCTGCTCTGTTCGTGGGCTGCTTTGAGGCCTAATTCTGCTATTTGGAAGTTTATTCCAGGGGCTGTTTTTTGGTCAATTTGGAAAATGAGAAATGAGTTAATTTTTGAAGAAAGAAAACTAGACAGAATTTTACTGTTTTTCACTGTTCGTTTAAGGTTAGCCAAATGGTTTTTAGCAAAGTATCCCCTATTCTCTATTCAGGTAGACTCTCTAATTGGTGATCCCTCTTTGGCTGACAATTTTTTTGCTCCTAAGGTTCTGAACAGCATTGTGTACTGCTGGAATCCTCCTCCGGTGGACTATTTTAAGATGAATGTGGATGGGGCTGTTTGCTGTGTTGGGATGATGGCTGGTATAGGAGGAATTCTCAGGGATTGGAATCGGGTTACTCTTCTTTCATTCTCTGAAAGTGTCGGGCCTACCACACCTATTCTAGCAGAACTTAAAGCTATCAAAAAAGGCATTGACATCTTTGTTTCTTCAGATTGGGTGTTGATGGGCAGGCTTATTATCGAATGTGACTCAAAGACAGCAGTGGATTGGATCATTAATCAAGTTTCTGCCCCGGTTTTTCTGTCTAATTTTGTTAAGGAAATTGTGGCTTCTGTTTCTTTAATTCATGCTATTGTCAGGTGGATTCCTAGGAGTTGTAATTGTGAAGCTGACAAGTTAGCGAAGGAGGGAATTGGGTGATTGTAGTCATGGATTTAGTTGGTTTGTATGTTGTTGAGGAATAGTGTGTCAGGAGTGTTTTATGTTGGTAGTATTTGGCTGGAGAGTTCTTAAGTTTTATATTTAATAAAATTATGTACTCTTTTCCTCCTTCAGCTAGTTGGTTCTTGCCTATGGGCAAGGGTCTACTAAGAGGGAGGTTTTTAAAGAGGCATTCTATTCCTATCAAAAAAAAAATAACCCTAAGTTTTCTAAAATTCCATCTTTCTTGTTTGTTCAGCCAATAACAAACTTTTATCATTTTTTAAGGTTGGTGGTAAGAACGTTCACATGCATAAACTCAAAGTGGAAAATCTACCATGAGTGAGAAGAGGAACAACAAGTTGAATGACACATGGCTTTGAATGTTCATAGCTGGAAAACTTTTAAGAAACCACCTATAATTCCCACTATTCATTTTGAGAAATAATATTTCCCAAACACCATTAAAGAAAGAGAATTAAGTCTGCCTAACGGATATAATGCCAAAATCCATTATCATAAAATATAAAAGAAATCAAATTCTTGCTAATAAAGACAAGAAATTTCAATGTCCACATTCCCGTATGATTAATTTTTTTATAGGAATTGAAGGCCTCATTAAAAACCCTTCTTGATTGAAGGAGCTTGCAGAGAAGCTCCTTAATCAGCGGAAGAGGGAAAAGAGTGCCTTAAGATTATATAAACCATAATAAATTACAAAAGATACAACCAAGGGACTTCCCCAAAATAACCAAAAACGGAATAACTACCCACACAGCCCTGTACAACACTACAACGACCTCTAGCTGGCCTGTAACCGATCTAGCAACGCTACTAAAGACTTACACCCTGAACACGGCCAGTAAAACCACACAACATCCCACAATATGCCTGAAGCAATCAACCAATCCCCTCCTTAGCTAACTTGTTAGCTTCCATATTACAACTCCTAGGAATCAATCTCAGAACAATATCCTTAGCCGAAATAGATGCCCCAATTTCCTCCACCATAGAACTGAAAAATACAGGTGCAGAGTTCAGCTTAGAAATCCAATCCACTGCTGTTTTACAGTCACTTTCTATAATTAATCTCCCCTTCATAGCCCAATCCGATGAGAAGAAAAACTCAATCCTTCCTTAATAGCTTTCAACTCTGCCAAAATAGGAGTTCCAGGCCCTACAACTATTGAGAAAGTGGCTAAGGTATTAGGGGTAAAATCTTTCAAAATACCACCTATACCACCTTGCAACCTATCCCCTCTTACCGCCCCATCAACGTTGAGTTTGAACATATCAAGGGGCGGTGGAGTCCAACCATTAGCCTTCTCAGGGACAGAAGAATACTGAACCTTATCTGCTAGAGAAGGATCCCCGACTAGAGTGTCCAAGTTGATACGTACCAAAGGGTATTTAGCTAAACACCATTTAGCCAATCTAAATCTGGCAAAGAAGAACAAAGAAGAACTGTCGACCTTCCAATTTTCGAACACAACCAAAATTCCTAGCCTTCCATATTGACCATAAAACAACCCCCGGGATGAACTTCCAAATATAAGAATTCTGCCTTAGATACGCCCAACACAGAATTGAAATGGGATCTTGAGGTAGAGCAGTAAAAATTTCCCAAATCCTAAGGAATTTAGTCCACAACTCCCCTGCAACCACACAAGAGAAGAAAAGGTGTTCAACAGATTCATCGTGCAAGTGACAAAGAGGACAAAGAACATCTTCCAATGGAATTCCTCTCTTCTTCAACTCCACTCTAACTGCCAATTTACCATGACAAAGCTCCCATAGAAACGTTTCCACTCTAGTAGGAGCCAATCCAGCCCATACCCACTTATTCCACTCGAACGAACCTTCAGATCTGCTATATAAAGACATCCTACAAGACTTGACCAAAAACACAACTCCATTCCCGTATGATTATGAATTTAGACTTTAAATGAAACAAGGATTTGGCACTCTTAAAGATATGAGAAAAAATATACATACCTGAAGGAGATGTCGGAGTAGGCAATGCAATATAGTTTGAGCTTGGGGAGTTGGCTCAAAACATGGAAATTCTGTGCATGCTGAAAATGACATTCTTTGAGACACGCCAACCACAACCCCAGCATTTGGAAGAAGCCCCAAAGGGTACACCTCGCGGTCAAATTCCAGATCTGGATCCAACTGATAATACATATAGAAATTTTAACTAGTAGATATGCCAAATAACCAGATCAAATGCCTTGTATGGTCTTTTTAAAAAAAAAATACTGAATAAGAGAAGGATGACAAGAAAAGTGCATTAAAGGAGTAACAAGATCAGACAGAAATCACACTCTCAGGTCAAAAATACCTGCAAAAAGTCCTCCTGTTTAAATGAGTCAACACCTGAAGATGGATACCAAACCTGTAACAATAAGCATCCAACAAAAAATTAAATCAGACTAGTAGAAATAAGAGGATTTACAGAAAAATATAAAAGCAAAGTGTTGGACAATCAATTTAACAGTAGGTTACCTGCATTCCTCTGTAGCCATAGTCCAACCAGGAGACATCATCAATTAGATTTGTTTTCTCTTCTGATTGACCACATGTAACCCAAAATAGTTCAACCGAATTGGTGAGTTCCCTTTCCCTTCCATCATCCAAATCAAGTAATGAAAGCTCCCCATTCGTTCTCAGTATCAGACATCTAGAAAAGTAAGTAAATATCAGGCACATGCAATGTGCAGAAAGTTCAATGCACCAGTTCAAAGGTTATACCTTGCAGGCTCTCGGGCTAACAAGTTTGAAGAAGATGAGTTATGATTGTCAAGGGCACTGTCTCTTGGAATTTGATCAGGAATAAAACGCATAGCTGCAGGATGGCTCTTTGTAGTCATGATCGAGAGTTCTCTTACTGTAGAAAGCTGTTTGTCATTTTATCACTTAAAAACGTATGAAGAATAACTTACACATTATTTTAAAGCAAAACCATTTATATATTTCAATCAAATATTTAAATAACTGGATAATATTCCTTTACCTGTAAATCCGGAGTACTAGATGGTGTCAGTTCACCAGATAACTTCACATGGAATATGTGTACATCAAAAGGGCAATAAGTGACTAGTATGTAATCTTCGTAGACATCCATTACCATTGGCTTTGCAAGCAATGGTTTACGACAGAGTAGTGAGCTCTGATCAAGGTGATATCGAGGATAAAAAAGCAACTCATACCTGCATGCATGCATTTGCATCAACCACAATAAACAATAGTTGATCATGAAACCAAATGAAAAGATTGCAATTCACAAATCTTCATTTAAAACGAATGATAGAAAGAAGGAATTGAAACTTGTGGCCAACAAAATAAGTCCTTGATCAGTTGGAGTTTAAAGGAACCGATAGTGTTATGAATTGCCCATGAATCTCGGGCATCCATATTTTACCAGAAATTAATCAACAATTTTAAGTACTTGGACAGAGTTGACAAGTTCTGCAGGCAGAAGTAATTCAGAGGGCACATATTTGCATCTCACATGTAAGAAGAATCAATGTAATTATTTATTAAAAACAAATGACAGAAAGCTTAGGGTTCAAAATAAGAGTACTTGATCGGTTGAAGTTTAAATGAATTAGCAATACGATGACTTGCCCATGAATTTCAGGCATCCATATATATCAGAAATTAATCAATAGTTAGAAGTACTTGGACAGAGTTGGCAAGTTCTGCAGAAATATTTAAGAGGGCACAGATTTGAATCTCACATGTTCGAAGAATCAATGTAGTTGAAGACAACAACGATCTTCCCCAGCCATAATAGGCCTTTGCACTGAATCTTCTGTTCCTGAGAGATATCTCCAAACACTCGCCACTTCTTTAGTCTTATATCATATAAAATCAACCCATGGAGACCAGCAACTGCTAAATACATTCCATCCTTGCTTGCTGCCACATGCTGAACAGGCCAGTTATGTGAAATATAAGAAACCTGAACAAAAGCAAAACAACATTAGGACACTCACATTTTATAGGGAAACAGAATGAAAGCAGACAGTTATTAAAGTTGCGAATAGGATGTATAACTGGAAGGTTTAAATGTAGCATCTTTAGCTCATCAGTCTCTTCTGACTGCACAACAAGCAATCTATCTTCACCATAAATCACTTGACGGACATAAGTCATTCCCGATACTCCTCTACTAAGGCAACATTTTCCAAAAGAAAATGAAAGAATTCTCTCCAACGATCCCTCCTCAATAGCATAAAGCCTATATCCATATTCATCCCACTGCATTAATGAGGTACCGCCCATCAATGGCTCATATTTACAATATTGGTTTGTCTTAACTACTGGAGAAGAAGCAGAACTCAAACCAATTTGACGGATGGTTGACATTAGACGACATCCAGAAACAGACCAAACTGTAAGTCCTCTTAACTTCCACCCAACTGCAAAAGCAGAATTATCTGGTGTCCATTCAATACAACTGACAGAACCAGTGTCTTCCATTGTATATCTGCCAAACAAGAAGATTAAGAAGTAAAGTTTTCACCCTTGACGCATGAAAGCTTGAGCCCATAACATTGGTTTCTATAACACTATGGTCCAAAAACTTGCTAAAATAAGCACAGCTAAGAAACTAGCAAAACCAAAAGAATTAAAGTGTTGCGTAACATAAGGATTTTCACAGTACTGTAAAAAGTTCGGTGCAAGTTGACAACAGCAGGGAACGTGAATTTACAAAAGAGAGATGAGGAAAAGATCTTATTTAACTACCTAGTAGAAAATATAGTGACTAGTCAGTTCACTCAAAGAACAAAATGTAAATACATTAGAGTATACCACCAACATTCTAGCTTTACCAATAAAGACAATGCATACCCCCAGTCATATAAGGAGAGGGTACGAATGAGCAACCCAGAGTCAGCCAAGTCATATAACTCAACAACACCTCTTCTGGTACCAACGGCAAGGATTAGTTGATCTCCAGCAACTGAAGTACATACAGCATCGCCATTTCCCAATTTTTTTCAGGTTTAATAGATTCACCTGCCTTTAAACCTTTCTTGCTCACAGTGAATGAAACTAGTTGTCCATCAGAATATAAGACTAACAGCAGCCTCATCAAAACACAAAACTCCAATTGCGCTATAGCAGCTTTCTTGGAGACATTATTCGAGGCAAGAGAACTGTCGTCCTCTCCAGAGGCAGTAAAATTAACTGGAGAAAGTGATAATGTAGCAACTTCATTCTCATTGTGTTGGGAGGAATCCAGTCCAAAAACTCCATAAAACTATACAGATAAAGTAAATACAAAAGTCAAATTCCATGTTAAAAGGAACTGCATAAGACAGGATAAAATTGCTGCAACATGTTATCTATGGAGTACCTCCCCCTTCCAAGAGATACTATATAAAGATCCATCAGAAAGCCCCAATAGCATATGTTTGTTATCACTCACAATATTGCTCCTACATCAAAGAGGTTCAAAGGAAAGATAAGATACTGAGAATAACTAAAGTTAAGGTCAAAACTACAGCAAAAGAAAAGGAAATATTTACACGGCCAAATTATTTTCAGCAAAAGGCACTTGTTCATTCAGAACTCGAGTTATCATAGCTAGAAACAGACCAGAGGGTTGCTTCCCCCCTAATTGTACTTTTCTCTCAGTAAACTGGACCTTAAAAATGTGAAGAAAGAGAGATGAAGTCTGCATAAATAAAAACGAGTAAGATTTAAGTTCATAACACATAAAGTTACGAGCTTAAATATCTAGTTCAGAAGCAGTACACTGAAACAAAGAAAACAATAAATGGGCAATATGAAGCATCATCCTTTTATCATTGATCAATCTGGGCAAAAGGAAACTCTTATCCATCACCCATAAGCATTAAAATAAAACAATCAAGCTAAATGCAATTATCAAGAGCAATATGAATAACTGTTTCTCTGCTTCATTTTAATTTTACTCCAACACCAAAATTCTAGCACCCTAATACTAAACGAACATTTAATCAAAACAAAGACAGAAACAACTTCAACTAAAAGAAAATTAAAGTTGCAGACACCATAGTAAGCTAAATCAATTCTCTGAGAGAAAAAAGAAAGAAAAAACTCACAAGAACCGCAATCAATTTGGTGTCAGGGCTCCAAACGGCCTGCAAATTCTCGCCTTCTCGTTTCAGCGAATCCGCATCTCTCTTATAGCTCCCTAACCTCACTCTATGCTGCAATCACCGACACAAAAAACAATCAAACGGCTTTATAAATGAGGAAAACAAAAAACCTAATCATTAAACAAAAGCATACATTTGTGTAGGAAATACCTGGGAGGAACTCCATAGCTCGAGATGCAAAGGCGAAACGACGAGCAAGAGTCGGTTAATGAGTTTTAGGTAAATGATCTTTTGCGACGTGGGATACTGCCCTTGCTCTAATGGAATCACCTGCGGATATCCATATGCCATATACATCTTCCTTTTCTTCTTCGATTACACTTGATTTTTTTTTTCTTTTCCTCAGCTAAGGATCTAATTTCAATAAATAGATCTGAGGGAGCCGAGCATTCCTTCTTTTTTGAGAGAAGATTAGATCTCGTAGATCCAAGAGAGGAGTGGCATTTTCTTTTTCTCTTAAATCGATTGATTTCTTTCTGTTTCAACAATTAGAAATACTGAAATGGGTTTTTATTTTTTATAAATTAAAGAAATGACCTGTCCCCTCTCGTTGGGTCCCTCCTCTTGGGTTTTCATTTTCTTTTTCTTTTTTTTTTAAATAGAAGAGGGCTGAACCCTAAACAACGGACAGAGAGATTAACACATTTTCTATTATAAGCGATGATGCCTAGCATATCGCCCCATACACTAAAATGGGCATTCCTTGGTGGTTTGATAAGTGAATCCTGCTGCCGTTGAACATGCCGACTACCAATGAGTCACAGCATTCATGCAAAACTTGCTTATGCCACTACCCCATAGCTCAACTTGTGGTATTCAACACACTCCATTGATGCATCCATAGTATATAATTCCATATATTATCACAATGATATATCATTCAAAATAAATTTATTTTAAATTTTATAATAATATATAGGTTTAAACTAAAAAAAATACCTGAATTATGCTATTCTTTTGCTTTAGGCACCTAAATTATTTTTTGGTCACTTAAACTATTATATGTAACCACTTTAAGTACTTCAACTATTTTTTGATCAAAATAAGTCCATGAAGTATATTTTTTTGTTTTAAGCCCCTAAAATATTTTTTTGGTCAACACAAGTACCTAATTTTGTATGACGTGTCGACATCTTATTAGTCCAAAAATAATTTTTTAACTGAAAAACTATTATGACTTAAAATAATTAAATATAATAGTTTAAGTATTTAAACCAAAAAAATAGTTGAAGTACCTAAAGCAAAAAAAAACATAGTTTATATACTTATTTTTACTTTAAACTTAAAATATAATTGTTTATTCACCTATTGAACATAAAATTATGTGTTGTAGTGCATCAATATTAACTCTATTATTAATTTTTGAATAATTTACAATGATTACAAGTAGTAATATATATTATAAAGACTCTCAACCATTGGACAATGAATGTTTAAATATTTTATTATAATCATTGGTATTTAAACCAAGAACCTCTAGGGACAATAATTATCCCTTTAACCACTTAGGTAACTTAGTTCGTGCATTAAGTCTATTATTTTTATAATTGCCATCACCATCTATAATATATTTAAGTGTATGATTTAATTAATATCAATTAACCGAATATTTGACTTACTAGAAATAATAAAATAAATTTTATTATGAATGTATTTATGTTTATTTTTATAAATTTAATATATTTCAAAAATTAAATAATTTATATTATCACTTTGAGATAAGTATTGAGGTGGAATTTAATCTAATGTGTAATTGTATACATAAAAACTTCAATCATAGTTTAATGCGGTCTCAATAACAGGGGAAGTGTTGTTCTCCATATAACTTTCGATTAAAGTAGTTACGTTTAAATGATGTGTATGTATTTTTAATAGATTAACAAAATATTTGGCCATATATCACTTTGTAATTACCCCCAAGCTATTAACAAATATGTATACTTTTAATAGAATAAATATATTAGTTTATTTTCAATCATTAAAGATAAACATAATGAAAAAGATGAGCAGCACATTAATGAGATGAAATTAGTTTTTTTTAGTTAAAGTCAACAGCCCAACTATACGATAGGGTTTTCATTGTTAAGGTTCTCTTTGCATAAGTGGCACACAGATGTCGGCGTTGTCGGTGACTATCCTTCAATCGGATCTCGATCGGGCTGATTTCCCTCTTCCTGCGGAGAGCGTCTGAGCGGTTAAGAAAGTAAAAATAGTGATAACTTTGGTTTGGAGCAAGGTGTCCCAATGGGGGTGAATGCAGAACATGCGGAGGACATGGATATGATAGGAAAAGATTCGATTGAATCTGGGGTAATCCCTATAGTACAAAAGGAAGTGCAGCCTTTGTCCTTTGTGTTAGAAAATAAACAGAGTACGAGTAATTTCTCTATAACCAGATTAGTGAGAATGCGAAATAGAAGCGGAAAAATAATACCCGAAATTGATAATAGAGTTCAGCCAATTATGCCTACGTCTCCCAGACTGTTGTAGATCTTTTACTAAGAGAGAAAATTTACAGGTTTTTACAAAACACTCACTACTCACAAGAAAGCTCTCTAGTATTGAGAGAAATAAATTATTTGGGATGATTTTGAAGCTAAATGAGCTAGGGTATTTATAGTTGAAGCTTAGGGACTAATCTTTGAAAATACCCTAAAGTGCAATGACTAAAGTGCACTTTACCCATTACCATTTCAACACAATTATGCAGCCACCTTAGACTATTATAGCAGCCAGCTGCTAGCCCAATTTATTTGACTTTACAACAATCTCACACTTGAAAATTGATTTTAATCTGTCTTCACACCTTGATCGATGCAATAGTATTTTTGGTCCTGTTATTCTAGCATGCCAACTGAAGTTGAACACAACTTCAGTTTGTCAATGGTCGTCGTCTTTGTCAACATGTATGCTGGATTTTGAGCTCCACTAATCTTTTCAAGCTTCAAAATCCCATATTCCAGAAGAGACCGGATAAAATGATATCTCAATTGTATGTGCTTTGTCCTGGAATGAAAAGATAAATTATTTGCTAGATGAATAGCACTTTGACTGTCGCAATACAAGACATTGTTTTCTTGTTTCTTGCCTAACTCTTCCAAGAAACTTTGGAGCCAAACCATCTCTTTGTTGGCTTCCGTAACAATGACATATTCTGCTTCAGTTGTGGAGAGAGCAACTATCTTCTGTAGTTGAGAAACCCAACTCACTGCAGTACCTCCTAGAGTATAGACATACCCTATAGTGCTCCTTCTGATGTCAACATTTCCAGCTAAGTCAGCATCTACATAGCCTGTCAGTATTGTATCTCCACCTTTGAAACAAAGTGCTTTATTTGTAGTACCCCGCAGATATCTGATGATCCATTTGACAGCTTCCCAGTGTACTTTGCCCTGATTATTCATGTACTTGCTAACAACTCTCACTGCTTGAGCATTATTTGGTCTGGTACAAACCATGGCATACATCAGACTTCCAATTGCTATGGCATATGACACCTTCACAATGTGTGCACGTTCTTCCTCCGTCTTTGGTGATTGCTCTTTAGAGAGTCTAAAATTAACACCTAAAGGTGTACTTACTGGTTTAGCATCTTGCATGTTGAACTTGGAGAGTACTTTGTTGATGTATTCAGCCTGTGATAACATCAAAGTCCCTGAATTTGTGTCTTTCTTGATCCTCATCCCAAGAATCTGCTTTACAGCACCTAGATCTTTCATAGCAACCTGCTTCGACAATTTTTGCTTCAATTTTATAATCTCTTGCATGTCTGAGTCTGCAACGATGTCATCAACCATATAAATAAATGAAGTTGTTGTCGAACCTCTTGATGAACAACAATGATCTGCTTGGCATCTGGTAAAACCATTGCTACTCATGAAGTTATCGAACTTCTTGTACCACTGTCTAGGAGCTTGTTTTAAACCATACAAGCTCTTCTTCAACCTACATACCAGGTTTTTCTTGTCTACCTCTATGAAGCCTTCTGGCTGCCTCATATAGATTTCTTCCCTCCAAACCCATGAAGGAAATTGTCTTTACATCTAATGCTCAGATGTAAATTCTCGCAGCTACAATTTTCAACACTAGTCTGATTGTAGATAATTTTACGACTGGAGAGAAAATTTCATTGTAGTCAATACATTCTTTTTGTTGAAAGCCTTTGACAACCAATCTTGCTTTGTAGCGTTTGCTCCCATCGTGCTCTTCTTTGATCCTGTAAATCCACTTATTATGGAGCGCTTTCTTGCCTGGTGGTAATTCAGCTAATTCTCACGTCTGATTTGACATAAGCAAGTTCATCTCATCTTTCATGGAAGACTCCCACTTGACTGAATCATCCACCTGCATTGCTTCATCATAGCACTCTAGTTCACCATTGTCAGTCAGCAACAAGTAGTGCAAAGAAGGTGAATAACGTTGGGTTGGTTTAGGAATTCTGGAGGAGCGTCTTAGTTATGGTGTGCTTGGTTCTTCTTGAACTACTTCAGGACTGATCTGAACATCATTTCCATAAATCTCCTCGAACTCAGCAAATTCCTTTGTTTCACTTCGATATTTGAGCTACTTGATTCTATGGTTGACCTGTCTTTGTACATCACATTCTCATTGAAAATGACATCTCTGCTTCTGATGATCTTCTGATTTTCGTATTCCCAAAATCGGTAACCGAACTCATCACCACCATAACCAACAAAGGCACATTTGTTGAACTTAGCATCAAGTTTACTTCTTTCAGCAGAGCTTGTGTGTACATAAGAAATACAACCAAACACTCTTAACTGTGAAAGGTTTATTTCTTTCTTGCTCCAAACTTCCTCCGTATTCCACCATCCAAGGGAACTGGAGGCCCACGGTTGATTAGGTAAGCTGCAATGTTGATAGCTTCAGCCCATAGAAATTTGGTTAATCTGACATGTATCCTCATGCTTCCTCATGCTTCTGGCACGTTCATTTAGAGTTCTGTTCATGCGCTCTGCTACGCCATTCTGCTGCGGTGTCATGGGAACTGTTGTCTCCATCTTGATCCCATTGTTTGCGCAGAAATCTTTGAATCTATGATTTTTGTACTCTCCTCTATTGTCAGACCTCAACCGCTTGACTTTCAGATCAGTCTCATTTTCCACCATGGCCTTCTATTTTCTGAAGGTATCAAAGACTTCTGATTTCTTATTCATAAAATAAACCCACACCTTCCTTGTAGAATCATCGATGAAGGTGACATAATATAATGAGCCTGCAAGAGATGGAACTGGAGATGGTCCCCATACATCAGTATTAATTAACTCTAACTTTTC